GCTCCAGAGAGAAGAGGACCCAGCTAAGAGTGAGACAGAAAGGGAAGCAAAAGACCCTGGGTCTGGAGCTGGAGAAGTGGACACTGATAGCCAGAGGGAGCCCCCGAGGCACATGGATGCTGAGACTTCCCCCGGAGAGTCTGTGACTCTTCAGCACTATCTGGCAAGTGGCCCTCATCTTCAACTTTGGGACAGCCGTGCCTCATGACATTGTTGACCCTGTCTGCAATGGGCATCACACCAATCTCTCTGGCTGGGCCTCTGCCACAGAGCCAGGTAAAGCAAGAGGTAAGGCAGATGCCACCTCTGCTTCCCTTGCAGAGCCCAAGAGTGTGTGCTGGGCTCCCTAGCTGGAATGGAAATGGATTTTCTCCAGGAGACAACCTTTGCACCAGGAAAGGGATCAATAACTCTGATTGTGGGACTGTAAGTTGTGTTCATTATGCATGAAGTTAACTTTTATGGCTCTTCTTCAGAAGCCAACCACAGTTCCAACACTTTCTCTAGTAAAAGGTCAAGTTCTGGGTAGGGAATTATAAAACCAACTATTGAAATGTGACATCTTTAAGTGGAACTGGAGTGAATTTCTTCAGGAACCTGCGCACAGAGAGGCTGTGTGTCCAGCAACCATCGTCCCCACTAGAGTTTTGGAAGTGGAAATTCAAACAAATCCTCAGTTATTGTATCATCCTTCAGAAAATGTGGCTCATCTTTACTTCAAATGTGCTAAGATTCTGTAGGCAGCAAGTTGGGCCGAGTGCTGTTTCTGGTCCCCTTACAAAACCTAACTGTAGGGTTTGCCTTTCAGGGTTTCATTGATGGAGTCTGGCTAAGTGACTCAGGGCATGGAAAGTTCACTCCCAGCCCAAGGTTCCTGCAGCATTTATTTCCTTGTCAGTGTTATGATGTTGGCAATAGAGGTGGTACAGGAGGCCCAAGGGACATGAGGTGTTCACCACTGACGTAAAAAGCTGCAAAAAAATGCAAATGGGGAAAGAGAGGATCACCTAATCACAACATTCTACACTAAAATAAAAAACCTAAGGATTTAAAAAGAAAACTGCCAGCATTGCATACACATTTTTTTTGTCCAGGTTTGTCATAACCTTAAAATAAACATTGTACACAGGGAGTTAATGCGACATAAAGTCTCACCTCTGAAAGGGTTTTCATCTGGCATGTCGTCCTTTGTAAAAAGAATAAAATTTGGACTTATCAAGAGAGGAAACACAGCCCCTTGTATTTGGCTGCTTTTTACATAAATAGTTATAAGGAGCTTATTAATGAATTTTTTGGTTTGAAGTGATGGATTTCTCTATTAAAATATTTTGCAAGCAAAATTGTGTCAACTAGTCTACAAATAGCAATTTCTGGATCCTGGAGTAGTATATGTGTCCACTGAAGAGGAATGTGGATGTTTTTACAAGCAGGATTTCTCTATGTCACCCCCACCTCTGTGGCAGCTTTGTGACCTGCTTTCTAGCAAGCATAACTTTAGGGGCAGATTATGACTTGTAAAATGACATCCCTGAGTGAAGGTTTAAGACAGATGAAGCAGGACTGTTTGATCTTAATGAAATCTTTAATGGGAAATCCAACCCAATTACCTGTTTCTGTTAAGAGTGTTCTTTATTCATTCTTATTTTCTGGGAAAAAATCAGGGTGATATGGTAAGTATATTAATCAAGTTACTACTTTGGCTTGAATAATTATTAAACAGTATCCTAGGTTTCCTGGAAGATTTATTAAGCCTCTTCAATTACTTAACTCTTGTAGAATAATTTATATCCTGGCATTGCTGATGAGAAAAAAATGGATGAATGAAGTTATTAACTTAGAATATTTCAGAAGCACCTGGATGATGATAATGTTTTCATCTACTCAGTTCTTCTTATGGCAATATTTACTGTGTATCAGCATTTTAATAAAAGCTGTTCCAAATTGTTCTTTCACTTAGTCTTTCTCATCTTTAATATTGGGAATCAACTGCAGATATTTATTAATTAGTAACTCTATGAAAACATGAATCAATTTGTTTATTTGTGGAATAAATGTTATATTCCAGGTTGCTGGTAACAGTTGACTTTCAGGCAAAAGTGTTTGGTTGTTTCCATTAGTAACCCCTGGATTCCTTCTTACTGAAGGACTTTCCTCTCCCTCCAGGTGTTGTAAGGACCTCGTGAACAGCCTTGTTCCAAGATGCCTATAGATCAACCTAATAAAGACTTTTCCAAAAAGATTTACAATGTATCTCTGAAAGGGACATTTGAACAGAAGGCTTAAAATCAAAATAATGGAATTGCAGGCTCTTCCCTACATATAAAAGGGATCTTGTTTTTGCTTAAATCTAAGATGTCACAGATTATTACACATACCATTATTTTTGGTACCACTCAGAAAGAAAAAGTTTATAAATAATAATGCATGTTTTGGAATAATTCCATACAGAATATATATTGGTCACATTAGCTTTTGGAAACTCTGAAATTTATTTAATATATTCCAAGAGAGATCTCATTTCCCCCCTATATTGCTTGTAGATGTAGATTTTGTGCATATCTCAGTTGCAAAATGTAACAACTTGCTCTATTTCCATTCTTGGGTACAATAAAGCACTACATTTTTGCTTTGCAAGAAGCCAAATGGAATCACAGTCTTCCTACCAATAGCTAATATCAGCCAGCAGATATTGAAAGATGCCTTCAATTCCTAGATGTATTCTGATTTCAGAGATAAATTGGGGGAAATGCGTTAGAGAAAGAGTAGAAGGGGGATACTAAACACCATTGATGGAAAGTTAGGTCTAATATTACAAACCACAATGGGATGATTGTAGTTTCAAATAACTAATTATCCATGTCAAAATAACTAGAGGACAAGGAACCAAGGTTTGCAAGACATAGACATGATAATATTTGAGGAGATGGAAAAATTAATTACCTTGATTTGATGCATGCATATAATATAATAAAGGGAAAATACTGTGTCAATTAAAAATAAAATTATTTATTGAAATCTAGTATATGGGAAAGTTCCATTCTTTAATTTTTTTAATTTGTCCACTCAAAAGAATGAATTATCTGGTATTCCCATCTAGGCATGATTATCAACTCTGAATCTTTAATAAGTTATTAGTATGACATTTACCAAGAACTGGACCATGGAGAGTTATGCTGTAAGAGACGTAGACCATGTTTTCACTATGGTCACTATGATTTCTTTTCACTATGATTTTCCAACATTAAAAATTTCAACAATTAGTTTTAACATCTTTCATTTACTTTCATTTTTAGTTATAAATTCTGTATTTGAAGTGGATACTTCTCAAAAACATCACAAACTGATCAATAAGGCAAACTTCTGTGAAATAAAATGAGAATCATTACAGAATGATGTCTTACATTGCATAATTCTGAACACCTGATATATAAATGATTATTACTGCCACTTCACAGATTATAGTTTGGTATCCAAATGTTCACAGCAGCCTATAGTACACCTTTGATCTTTCATTAAAACATTGAACACCCTCCAAACACTTCAAACCAGCCCAATACCTAATTTGAAAAGTTAAATAGATGGGAATGACTAAATGTAGTATATTTTAACTGAGTTATTTATTTAAAATTATCAAAGCTGTAGACATTATTTTTATGTTAAGAAACATATACTTAGTGGAAATGCATAGTGGAAAAACAAGATACTGCAGAAACAAATGGAGATAACTTTTTATACATTTGTCACTAATATGAAACAGCTTTGTTTCATATGTACTACCTCACAATTTAAAAAGAACACTTTGTTTCTCTCATCCTTTAGTTTTGTGATAAAAATATATATTGCCTATGTGATAATTAAAATACCAGTTTCCTTTATTTAAAATGTCAGCGAGGATTCCCTCACTTCTTTGGTTACCTATCATGTAGTCCCTTTGATTCAATTTCAATTTGAAGTGGTAAAATATGAAGTAAATGCGCATTGGGTTTTGGCAGAGTTGGATGTGCATCCCTGCAGCAACTCCACTTACATGTATTCTCTGTTCCTAAAAGGGAAGCGATAATGCATGATTATTGCAACGTTTGCCTGAGCTGATACACGGAGACCACTTTGCATGTCTTAGAAAGTCCAATCAAGTGTGCTATCCTTCCTCGCCCATAGACACGTCACGAGGGGAAAAACTCCAAAAGCATTTTGGAAAAGGTGAGCTTTCCTAATCATTCTACAAATTAATATCTGAATGCAAATATCTGAGCACAGAAGCATTTATGAACTGAAAAGGATCACTTCTTGGCCCTTTGGCTAAGATCAAGGGTAAACTGGAAAGGAGAAAGAGGGTAGAAAAGACAGAGTAGTAAAAGGATTCAGATGCCGAGATTGACAAAAAGGAAGGGAAGGAAGAATAATGGGAGGGAGGAGGGAACTAGCCTTGCCTCTAAATTATAGATATTGGACATTAATCAAAATTTAAGGTTTAATTTTTTTACTTTTTGATTTACATTCTCAAGTATCATTTTCATTCTTAAAGTCATTTAAAAGGGATGCTATTTTTAGTGTATAATTGTAAACTTGTGTAATGGCTGAGCAATTCCTAGACAATGTCTTATTCAAACATGAAACAAATTCAATCACTAGGCTTATTTATTTATTTATTTTTGGTACTGGGGATTAAACTCAGGTCCTTGCACTTGTGCAGCAGGTGGTGGAACCACCCGGCCCTACTAGGCTTATTTTTATTTTACAGGTGAGATCCTTGAAGCTGAAGCTTACTGAAAAATGTGCTCTGCTTGCATGAGATATACGCGTGCCTACCAAGTACACAGTGACTCTGAACATTTTTGCTTAAATTGACAAAACATGGATGGTTATTTCACAGGAGCCTAAAACAAAACTCTTAACCAAAAGGATCCTACATGCTAATAATTCTTTTGGTGAACACTAGTAGTAAGTAGACCTCACAATAGGTAAAGCATGACAATGAGGCATTCCAGTCTCCTGGGTGTCCATTTAGTGCTGCATCAAACCTTGGGCAGTCCCTTTATATCCTTAGCCGAAAGTCTTACGTGAGTAAGTTGGAAACAATAGCAAAACGGGGAAAAAAATGCAATATGCTATGTATAAAATGTGTACCCAAATTGCAAGTGTAATTATTTTTGTCTATAATCTCTCGAATACTGTTTTAGACAACTATTATAATGGTATACCAATAATAAAACATTCATAATATTGTTAATTTTTAAAAAGAAATTGATTATAGAACCATACTATAGATTTCCAATCATAAAATTGAGTAATAAGAAAATACAAAGAAACTAAATGTTCTTTAAGAAGCACATTGTTGATGGACCCTCTTTTATCTTTATAAATATGATTTTTTCAATTAAAATATCCATAAATATTTTGAGTTTTTAAAGAAATGGTGTAACTGTTTTTACAAAGTGATGTTTAATATGTGAGTCAAATACAAGATGTAAAAATTTGCCTGAGAAGTCCTTCAAGTAAATGTAATATGGATTCTGAAAACATATTTATAATATGACATATTTTGATAAAAGCCAAAGTTTAGGATGAACCTGCTTTGATTTTAGAAAGGCGGCACACAGTTTAATCTCCTAAAACTAAATGTACTAAATTGCTACTTAAAAAGAAAGTAAATGTTATTTATGAGTTAGTCAACAGAGAATGTGAGACTTTTTTCAGAGAAGTTGGACTACGTGAAACACGAATACTCACTCTTTTTAACATGAGAGATGCAGATAAAAATGGCACTGAACTTTGTGTCCTCCCCTCTCTGTTTTTGATGGTAGATTAAACATGAGAAACGGGGAGGAATAAGAGAAGTTGTTTTAATTTCTTTCATTACATCATGGAAAAGGTTAGTTTAAGATGTACACAAGTCAAAGAGAAAAATAGGTGATTTGTAAAAGGCTGTCAGCATCGAAGGGCCAAGAGGAATCAAAAGAACTTGTTTGCTTTTTTGCTTGCTTGTTTGTTTATGTACATCAGGAAGATGTTAATCCCAAGAGTAGTAATCCAGTAAGATGCAAATTTTAATTTAAAAAGAAGGGAAAATTGTGAATATTCCACTTTTAGCTAAAATCTTGTTTCAACAAGTTCTCAGAGAGAAAAATGGGTATTTCTTCCTTATTCATACACATATTTACATTTACATTTTGAACACAAAAATGCATGGCTGACTTATCCCCTAACAAATATCCAAGTGAGTATAGTATATTTAAAAGTACATGGTAGCATCACAGATAGTTCATTATTTAAACCCTGACATAACCAATAGAAGGAATGAAAACCTAGAGAAATACTCTATAAAAAAGTTTAGAATGTTATATTTCTTGTATTGAAACCATATTAACCATATTTATCTCCTTACCAAATATCTAATATCCTCTTATTATATGTAAAAATCCAATAGGATTGACACACACACAGAAAGTGATTTACATATAAGAAAATGCTTTTAGATTCCCCAATGGTATCAACTCAAAAGTTCACAGAATTTACCCATTCAGAAATGAAATAAATTCATAAATTTTTCTTCTGATACAGGGATATTGTATAATTCAAATCATAGCACATTATAAAAACTGTTTTACTGAACAAACAAGCAAATGGCTGAGCATCTAAGAAAGTTGCCAGAAATCATACAAAGGGTCAACAGGACCAAAACTGGATATTGTAGTTTTCAAATTTGATACCAGTTTTACTGTTTCACAATAGATCAAAATATATTAATCCATTTATTTCCTTTTGAAATTGAAAAGAGAATATCCTTTTGTTTATTGAGTCACTGAAAAATTTTAGTGACTTCAGATATCTTGAAACCAGAAGTCCTTTAGATTGTTTTCCCTTGTACTGTGCCTAGAAAATATTTTTTATGAAACTACTTGTTTTCAAAAATAAATTTAAGGTCTGATTCCCAAAAAAGCTTCTTACACCCTATCATGAATTTGAGTTTTATTTTTTTTAAATATTTGTTTTACTTCAGCTTCCCAAGATGTACAGCAAGTGACATTTAATACCATGAGATTCACAGCAGTTGTGTTGCTACCTCAAGCTCCGTCACGTAGATATGGTAGGGTGTTTAATCCCTCTCTCCCTTGGAAAGCTGTAACATATGGTAGTCTTCTTAGTAAGACTGCAGCCTATTTGGAGGAAAAACATACATGTGACACAAAATAATAAACTCACAAACTATTAGATGCTCAAACCGGCAAAACCATGCACAGAATGTCTTAATGTTAAGGGTGTGGATTTTATCGCCATTCTATAGACTTGGGGTCAAAAACATTTTAAGTTAAAAATATGTTTACTATGTAACTTTGCTAGCACTTTATTCTGATTCATCCTATCCTTAGCTTATTAAGCATTCTCTGGAAACCAATGGCTGCCAAAATGTTAGTTTCTAGCTTTACTTACTTTTAATGGCTCCACTCTGGGAACATTGAGAAAAAAACCTAAATGCATTTTATTACTTCTGAAAATTACATTGCAGTGATCACTGAAATACCAGTACCTGAGCATTTCCCCCCTTTTCTTCTTTAGCCAGGATGTGGAGGCTCCTGGACACATAGTGCCGCCTGTACCAACTTGGTGGGTGCCATATTGAATTGACTGCATCTGTCACCCACCGTGTGTCATGTTGCATTGTATGGCAGCTTATAATCAGTGCTGACATGAAGTAGCAGGCTACTCTCACACCTCTGAAAGCAGATTCAGAACGAAACCAGATGGCTCCTTGTCTGCTGTGGTAACTATTGTGACTGAGAAATTGTTTTGACCTAATTGTAGAAAAGGATATCCTATTGCTAATTCTTGTAGCCAGAACTGCATCAAACATCTCCCGATGTAAAAGATAAATGTTATTTGTTTTAAATGTGCTCCCCCTAAATCATGTGCTCAAGACAGAAAACAGGTTCATAAGTTTGTTTTTAAACATCTCACCATTTAATAAACGAGAATGTATAATGCACCTCTTTCCATGGTACCATGATAATTTAAAATGATACTTTTAAAGTTGCAATAACTGCAGTGCTTTGCATTTACTTGTAGTGACATTTGAAGCTGGACAGATATTGTGGTAGTCGGTATCTGCTTTGGAGAAAGTGACAGGGACTATTTTTTCCAGTGATCAATTCAGATTTCCAATCTTCAGTGAAGAGGAGCCAGTGGACTTCAGCGGAAGTTTGCAGACATAATAACCATTTAAAAGGAAGCAGAATGAACAGCTGCTGCTAAATAAGGCTACAAGGTAGCCAGACTCCTTCTGCATCGCATTAAATTTGAAGCTAGGTCAGTGAGCACTGGAAACAGAGCCTAATTGTCCCCAGTTGAAAAGTCCAATATCACGGTCGCAATCTGACCTTCTCTGGACCTCCGTAAGTCTCTCTGCTGCAATGAATAGCAGGTCCTCCAAATGTGTTTGTAAAAATACTCAGCTATTGAATGATACTGTATAGTATTTATTACATCTCTCCAATTGCTATGAGGAGAAAATTGATGTTTTATATGATATAGGAAATTAATCATTATGAAAATAATTTATAATTAGATGAATTTCTCTTTAGTGTTACAATTAAAGATGTCCTCACACAATCAAAATATTTTTTAAAAAAACTATTAAACAGGTTAATTAGTCTAATGAATTAAATTTGAAACCTTATCAATTTAATGATTAGGTTACATTCTGTTTTTTGTTTTGAGACAGGGTCTCATTATGTAGTTCAGGCTGTCCTTGAACCCACCGTGCAGCCCAGATTGGCTTGAACTCATGGTGATCCTCCTGCCTCAGCCTCTGAAAGGCTGGAAGTACAGCCGTGAGCCCCGTGCTTATGTATATTTTTAAACCACAGACATTCTACATAAAGATTTATTTTCTTTAGACCTCATGAGGATATGTGCTAGTTTGCATTTTAACTAAAGAGGTACCATCATATAGAAAATTATTCTTATAGCATGCATTCCTTGATCAGTTCAGAATATAACCATAAGAATAAATATACTGCTTCAGTTCTTTGAAATTTGTCTTTATGTGGGCTTCATTGAGATGCATCAATATTGTTTATTTTTCTATAGCAAAATAAATCCATATTAAAGGAGTTATATATTCTTCTATATGAAAGGGTAGTGCAAAATTTAGGGAAAATGTTAATGTTATTCCCAAATAAAGTAATAAAATTGAACATATATATTTTTACCAATATCTTGTTTTTTTAATTTCAGGAGCTACCCCAAGGAATATAACAGCACACAAGTCCAGGTTATATAATGATAAAGTAGCATTGTTTGTTTAAGCCTAAGTTATTAAAGATCCATTTACTCATTGTGTAGAGTTGAGGTTATTTAACCAGCTCTCGGGGTGCGTGTGTGTGTGCGTGTATGTGTGCGTGTGTGTGTGGTTTTTCTACTTAAACCATAATAAGACCAATGAGCGCTAAATGAACTTGATAGACAAACAGATAACTAGAGCAAAATCTGAGGGACAGAGTGACACATGATTTCACATACTTACTAGACAACTGTCCCATGCTGGTTCATGGCTATTGGCCTAGAGAACCAAGTACAAGCCTGTATCCATCCTATACTATAGAAACAAGTATAGAAACCGCGAATCCCATGAAATCTACCATACTAAAAAATATATATATATTTTCAGGATACAATTGGGCCACATAAATGTAATCTGTGAACTTTAGGGTGAAGTCTCAGGAAAAAAAATCAAAGAGAGGGTGGCTCTCTAGGGCTGAGTCTTGATACTAAAGGCTTACTGTACTTGGGATGAGGACTTTTTCCCACTGAAGAAACCACTGGGCAAAGGGGAATTAGAAATATCCAGGGAGGTGTTTGGGAGAAAGAAGTCCAGTGCTTTGGTGTCGCTAAAGGAAATCCACGAAGCCAGCACATCAGTGCATTGAGAGAATAAGGATGGAAAGAAAGAGCAGCCATATTTTAGAGGCCGCATCAGGAGATAGAAGACAAACTAATCTTATCTGCAGAACAGTCGAACGATTGCCACTGGGATTCCTTGGAACTAGGATGTCCTGTGTTCATGTTCTGGAGGTGACATTTTAGAACAGTCTACATAGCCTTCAGAAATCTTGTCTGTCCAAAATATGGTATTTCCTTTCCATTTTTTTCTCTTCACTTATTCACACATACTTTTATGGGCCGTTCACAATGGAAACCCATTTGTTTTCAAGGTGAGTCTTTTCTCTCCCCTGACTTTTAACATTAGCTGCCACAGAAAGTCAACTTGGTCTCTGAATTGTTCTTTAATCCACTCCTTCCTCCTCATCCCCAGTGAAATTTTCCTATCTCAGCCTCTCAGAGTCTATCGCTTAAAAGACTGTGCTATTATTTTCCGGACTTCGCATATGCCTTGATCCCTTGTAATTTATTACCTGCCCTGTCACTGAGGTTGCTGCCTTTATCACAACACTCCCATGTTGGGTCATTACTGGACCAAATCCAAACTCAGCAGCATGAACTGAAGATTTGTTTTCAACTTTGACCCCAACTTCTGGTGCTTGAACCCAGATCTGGCCTTGACATAAGAAATTCTGCAACACTAGCGGGTAGAAATGGAATTCAGCACATATGAATACCTGGAATACATAAAATCTAAGCTAGTATTTGATATTATAATTACAGAAAATGCAGATGTTTATGAAGGCACAAGAGAATTAGATAGAGCTAATATGAATGAACTAGAAAATAATTCAGAACTCATCTACAGAACTGAATATTCTGAAACACATTTGGAAATATAGGGTCCATGTACAGAAATCGTATATCCTGGAATGTCACATACAGGTCAATGGATAGCATGAGAATCCCTCAGAATCCCTCCCCAGTGCAGTTTTGACAGGAGAGGGGCCTGTAGTGTGGTGATTGTACCTGAACTTCACATATGTTACTACTTCTTCTTCTCCCCCTTTTTCATGGGCAAATGATATTTGCATCTGAGTTTCTTTGATTTGATACTGACATGAATAATCTAGCCGCTATAAATATTACAACTCTGCTCCTTTAGCATATTATTTTCACTAGCAACAAGAAAGAGTAACTCATGATTCAAACAAAAGGAATAGAGATTATATACTGAAGATCGAATGGCAATTTCATTGGCCTGAATTTTGATCTGTGGCCAACTAAAATCATCTGGATTTCTCCCACCTGCCCAGTGAAGTTCAGCTTTGCTAGCTCAAATTCAAGGAACAGGCAGTTTTTCCCAAGCACAAGAAGAGAATATTTAACAGGAAGCAAATATATTACTATTGTGTTCCAGACCTTCAAATTTGAATTTTCTAAACCATATCTAAGAAGCTGGCACAGAATTCTTTCCATGTTTGGTACATGTGGTCTATTTTGGAAGCAAATCTAATTTATCTCTTTCTAAGAGCTGGTCAACAAAACTGTGTCTTTTTTTTTAATGAGATTGTATTGGTCCATGTCAAAAATTTAAAAAAAATCAGCATTGTTAAAGACTTGAAAGATTGATATTATTTGCTTTCTAATTTTGGGTGATGAAAAGTCTTTTATTTAGTGAAATGAAGGAGATGGAAGGTTCTACTCTAAGATGGCAGAAATAGTATTTTGTTTTGGCGTATTACAACCTCAGTAGGGAAAAAAAGTAAACATTGTCAACCCAGTTACCTTTTTCCCATACATATTTTAAATTTTACTGTTCTTTGAAGTCCAATTATCCACCAGGCATGGTAGCTCATGCCTGTAATCCCAGCACTCAGGAGGCTGAGACAGGAGGATCGCCGTGAGTTCAAAGCCAAGCCTGGGTGAGGTCAGGGTCAGCCCGAACTACAAAGTGAGACCCTGACTCAAAAAAACCCCCTCAAAATAAAATAAAATCCAAATATCCAAGAACTTTCCTAGTATCTATTAACAATGACCCTGATCCTCTCATTCTGATTAAACATTTTAGGACTTATGCCAAGTTTCCCTTCTTCAGAACAAATAGATCACTCAGTCCTTTAACTTTAGTTCATGGGGGCCGGGATTTAGCTCAGTGGTTCCAGCACCTGCCTTGTAAGCACAAGGTCCTGAGTTCGATCCCTAGTACCAAAAAAAAAAACAAACCAAACAAGCTTTAGTTCATGGGCCTCTTAAATTACTGCCTTGGCCCTGACACTCACAAGGGCTCTTTCTTTCTGTTAATCAAGTTATCAGAGGTTTGGTTTTATGTTTCATTAAATTTTAAATGTATATTTTGTGCTATGGTGAATATACAAATTATATATATATATATATATATATGTGTGTGTACATATATCATCATTTCAGACACACAGCCACACACACATATACACGGTGGTACCTCGGTTCATGAACCTACTTATCACTGTATAAATATCCATCATATGATTGATAAAACATGTGTTAATGACTATTAATAAGTTTAAATTCTCATACTATTATTTATAGTAATAGACTAAATAGTATATAAAAATATATAACAACAACATAGTAAATTATTATTATGAAGTTATTTATCTTACATAATTACATTCTGCTTTGAATTTTTAAAAGTTGTACATATTTATTGGGTGCAGTAAGATAATTTGATATGTGTATACAATATATGATCAAATCAGGGTAATTAGCATTCCCATCCCCTTAAGCACTAGTAATTTGTGTTGGAAAACTTGAAACTGATCTAGGTATTTTTTGAAATACAATATATAGTAAATATTTGCAAACTCTAGACACTGTCCTCCGCTGTACAACATGGTACTTATTCCTCTTTACTGTATTTGGTACCTGCTCTCACCTCCCTCTCTAGTCCCCCTCCACCCCATAATTCCCAGCCTCTAGTGACCACTGATATTCTCTCTACTTCTATGATGTGAACTTTTTCAGTTGCACATACAAGTGAGAACCTGTGGTATTTGTCTTTCTTTGCCTGAATTATTTCATGTTACATAATCTCTAGTTCCATTTATTGCTCCAGATGACTAGGACTCACTCATTCTTATGGCTGATATATTAATCATAGTCATATATATATACATATATATGATTCAATCACTCTATATCTTAGATGCTGTAGTCATTTAGTCATTCCATATCACTCCTTTACTGACCCTTCCCAGAATCTGAAGGGAAACGCCTAAAGAGAGACCTCATGGAAGATGTATTAGGCAGATTCCACAGACAGGCACCAAACTTTGATCCACCAGGGCAGCAAGAATGATGAATCACATGAGAGATGAAAAGAAAGGTGCCCTCAGAAGGTTAACTGAATGGCAGTAGGGTTCAGGTAAGTTGTCCAACTGCTACGTGTAAGAAGGATCTGTTTCTCCTACTGGGGAAGCAGCTAGATAACATTTCTCAAACCTCTAACGTTAGATGGGGCTGCTATAGGGACCTGGCCAATGGAATGACCCTGCCGCAATGTGCTCCATTCTTCAGTGAGCCACAAAACCTGACCTGTGGCTGCCATGCTGTTTTGTTCCATCTTCTGGGCAAGTGAACAGAAATCCAGGAATCTAGAGGTGAGAGAAAAATATAAAGTCAGAGTAAGGTCTGTGGATTGTCTGGTGGAAGGCTATGTACTTGGATTCTGACATGAATAAGCAATAAATTCTATGATGTTAAGCAGCTGGTGTTGAGGCACTATTTATCTTAACTTTATTAATACAATGTAAATAGTTCGGCTAATCCCAAATGAGGTCATAATGTCTTATATGAAAGTAACTATTTAGATCAAATTTTATTATGTATACAATTGTGAACATGTGGTCTGTACATTCTGATAACAAAAGACTCATTGTCTTGTGATATCATGGATATGATAGATACTATCTTTTCCTTTGAAAATAACTATAATGGACTTCAGTAAAATAAGAGACAAATCAGATCTGAGGATGGTATTGCGCATATGCTGAGCTAGTAATTTTTACATTGTTCGGAGCTGTGGGAAAGAAAAAAATTACCATGAGACAGTATATGCTCTGAAAAACCTAAAATATGTACTCTCTGGTCTTTCACATGCAAAAGGCTTGTTTACCAGCTCCTAAATTGCAACATAAATTTTGGGAATAAATCTGTCAACTGGCAGATTAGTTGAGTGAATTTAATCCTGGTATTTATAATAGAATTAAAAACATAGTAATAGCCTAAAATGTATTTTGTAATTCTAACAAAAATAATGTTTAATTATTTCAGGACACTTTTTTAGTAATTCTAATTTTATGATAGTAAATATTGTCATCACCAAAAAATTCAAGGGTATCTTTTGGGGTATATTATTAATGAATATAATGTATATGAATAGATATTTCTGTGATGTATATTTCAAA